AAGACTGGATATTTTTTTTTTCCATTCTTAGCTATGGATACTTTATTGCTTACTCATTCTGATTCAACCTTTAATGAATATTTCCTCCCCCCCCCCCATTCTTACATATACCTTTAATGGATAGCACACAGTGACAAAGTGCAAGACCAAAGATCTCTAATGTTAGTTTGGCAGAATGCCACGGCTGCAGATTTTAATGTAATTGATTTAAACAGATGCAGAGAATGTGAGTTGTTTAGTGATAAATGGTTTAAATTATAACTGTTCTCTAAAGCAGGGGTCAACAACCTTTTTCCGCAAGAGTGTCGGATGCCATGTTGTGTAACGGATGGAAGACAGTTCATCTATACAGCTAACCTCAATTCTTACGTCCAGTGACCTTCTTCTTTAGCAGTGTCCCATCAGTACCATACATTCCTCACTTATCACCACCATTGTCCATCTCCTTTAGCAGTGTCCCCACAGTGATAGCCATCTCTTACTTCTCATCACTATTGTCCCTCTTCTTTAGCAGTTACTCCTTAGTACCATATGTCCCTCACTTATTACCGCCATTGTTTTTCTTTTTTAGCAGTGTCCCCTGAGTGACATATGTCTCTCACTTCTCACCACCATTGTCCCTCTTCTTCAGCAGTGTCCCCTCAATTACATATGTCTCTCACTTCCCACCACCATTGTCCCTCTTCTTTAGCAGTGTCCCCTCAATTACATATGTCTCTCACTTCTCACCACCATTGTCCCTCTTCTTTAGCAGTGTCCCTTCAGTGACATATGTCTCTCACTTCTCACCACCATTGTCCCTCTTCTCTAGCAATGTCCCCTCAGCGACATATGTCTCTCACTTCTCACCACCATTGTCCCTCTTCTTTAGCAGTGTCCCCTCAGTGACATATGTCTCTCACTTCTCACCACCAGTGTCCGTCTTCTTTAGCAGTGTCCCCTCAATGACACGTCTCTTACTTCTCACCACCATTGTCCCTCTTCTTTAGCAGTGTCCCCTCAGTGATATACATCTCTTACTTCTCATGTACCTTCTTTACCAGTATCCCTCTAGTGCCAACCATCTCTCAATTCTGACTTCCATTTCTTTAGCAGTGTGTGTCTCATCCATTGTCCTCCCCCATAATGTGTGTGGTGACTTTGTGTAAAGAGTGTGTGTGATGTGTGACCATTGGGTGTAATGTGTGGGTGGTGTGTTGGAAGTGCCCAGAGACTTCTCACCCAAAACAACTTCATTAAGCTCAAGTTGGTGTCGGGTGAGTAATATTGAAAAAGAATAACGAAAAGAATATTAAGCAATTGGTATAGAAATCTACTTTTCTACTTTTTTCGCTTTTAATACTTTTTTCTACACAACTAGTGCAAAAAACTAAACAAAAAAACAACTCAAAATAGATTCACATATTAGTCCTGTTTGTTAAAATTCCTCATATGACCAGGATTTCAATTACATTATATAATTGTGAGACAAATATTGCAATTAACGATTGTTTTAAAAACCAAACATTTTGGGGACTGACTGTAATGGCCACTGGACGTGTTCTCTAAGAGCTGCTCGGGATTTTACATAGAAACATAGAATGTGACGGCAGATAAGAACCATCCAGCCCATTTAGTCTGCCCAATTTTCTAAATACTTTCATTAGTCCCTAGTCTTATCTTATAGTTAGGATAGCCTTATGCCTATCCCACGCATGCTTAAACTCCTTCACTGTGTTGACAAACCACCACTTCAGCTGGAAGGCTATTCCATGCGTCCACTACCCTCTCAGTAAAGCAATGCTTCCTGATATTATTTTTAAACCTTTGCCCCTCTAATTTAAGACTATGTCCTCTTGTTGTGGTAGTTTTTCTTCTTTTAAATATAGTCTAATCCTTTACTGTGTTTATTTCCTTCATGTATTTAAATGTTTCTATCATATCCCCTGTCTCGTCTTTCCTCCAAGCTATACATGTTAAGATCCTTTAACCTTTCCTGGTAAGTTTCATCCTGCAATCCATGAACCAGGTTAGTAGCCCTTTTCTGAACACTTTCCAATTGTGGTGATTTAATCCAATCGCCAGTTTTTGAGCTGACAGAGGCAGCCTGCCATCCTGCATCAACTGACTGACTTGGAGTTGCTTCCGTCAGCAGTGCTCTTGAGTGAAACCTAGCGGGTGTTGTGGGGGGAGAGGCTGCAGATCTCCCAACATGACGCATGCTAACTCGTGGAACTGAAGCCTGCTACTGCGCCCTATGGACCTATGGTGATTATGTTTCCTACCCTTACGGCTCCTTAACTCCACAGAAAGCTGCTGCTACTCAGGCTACTACCACAATGGTGCACCCAACATGTTGAAGGCCGCATGCTCCTGGATAAACATAGAGGAGAGGTCTGGATTACTGATATGGCTGAACATCCTCTTTGAAACATTCTAACAGAAACTTCAAAATAGGTACCTCCTGCTTGCCACACAATATCTACCAATAAACTTGCCTGCATAGCCACTCAGAAGTTCCTGCGACTGGAACGTGGCTACAGGTCGAATGGTGGCCTGCCTCCATAGGCAGCGTAGAGCACACTGCTAGGGCCAGAGGAAAATGGCACACAGGCATATGCTAAAGCTGGACATATTCATACCAGGAAAGGGGTATCCTAGATGGGTTGAAGTGCAAAGTGGAACATGGAATGCTTTACAACGCTCTACCATCAGGTTACTATCTTGACCTACACTTGATTCGCTGACCAGAGTCATAATGTGGCCTGCCTTTGGTGGGCATAGGCTGAAAAACGTTACGGAGACCTTATTTCATCCACTCACATGACAAGCATGGCTAAATCATGGTCCTGATTTGACAGCTTAATAACCTTTTCTAACCTGTAGTTGCATGTTTCCTATCTTTTTAATGATTACTACCCTACCAGGCTTTATAGTGCTCTTGACTCTCACACCTCACACAGAACCAATTCTCTGACAACAGTCGTGATTTATCTTCACTTTACGTTTTTGCTGTCTACTCATGCATCTAGCCTGATTACATAATCATTGTTTATTTTATTCATGCATACAAACAGGGCCGTCTTTAACGCGGGGCAAACGGGGCAGCTGCCTTGGGCCCAGTTGCTCCTGGGGGCCCAGAGCAGCTGCTCTGTGGGCCCCGCGATTTGCGCAGGCCCTGCGGTGCGGCTCCCGCACACTGAGGAGGCTCCCGGGTGGCCCATGCACTAAGGGCCACCCGGGGAGCATGTGTCAGCAGGGGCCCGGTCGGGCGCTGTGGCGCTTAAACAGCGCGACCGGGCCCCTCTTCCGGTTCTGCAGCCGGCTGGGAGGAAGTGACGTCACTTCCTCCCACCGGAGATAATGGCCGCGTGGGAGGAGGAAGGCAGGGAGGAGGGGAGTTCCAGAGGAGAACTCCCATCTGCCTCAGCCTGCCACTGGACCAGGGAAACCACCCTCCAGGAAAAGGTAAGAACCTGGAGGGTGGCTAAATGTATGTCAGTAGGTCTGTGTGTGTGTGTATGTCTGTGTGTATGCCAGTATGTCAGTGTGTGTGTGTCAGTATGTCTGTGTGTATGCCAGTATGTCTGTGTGTGTATGCCAGTATGTCTGTGTGTGTGTGTGTGTGTCAGTATGTCTGTGTGTATGCCAGTATGTCTGTGTGTGTATGTCAGTGTGTCTGTGTGTGTATGCCAGTATGTCTGTGTGTGTGTGTGTGTCAGTATGTCTGTGTGTATGCCAGTATGTCTGTGTGTGTGTGTGTCAGTATGTCTGTGTGTATGCCAGTATGTGTGTGTGT